GTTATTCGCAATCAAAAACTGTTCGGTGACTTTTCAAGTTTCATAGTAACCTCCCCCTCCCCCTCCCCCTCTCGCAATAAAAGACTCAGGGTCTTCTATTATGTTTAAGCGGAAAAATTTTTTAGGGGGGGGGGTCTTGTATTATGTCTTTCGTATTTTTACAATTTTGTTGAACTTACGTATATTTCCGAAGAAAATAGTTAGTGTAAGTTTTAAGGTGAAGTTTCGCAGCTCTCCCAAGTCACCCTCTACCATAGCAAAAAGAAATAGTGCGTAATTAACCTCATTGGCTATACTATTTCAAAACTCTGTAAATTCTAATTCCTGACCTAAATATTATGTGCTTAAGTTTTGTGGAATTCACGTATATTTCCGACGAAAATAATAGTGAATGTAAGTTTAAGTCGAAGTTTTTCGGCTCGCCTACCTCTTCCCTATTATATGCTGTAGCAACCACTTCGGTTTAAAAGGTTCTAGAAACTTCTAGAATCTTCTTTTATATCTCAATCGTTCGAATATTTTTATGAATATTCGCAAAAAGTCAACCTCCTTTTTTGCACAGATAAAAGATTATACGATCCATTTGAAAGATAATCGTTTGATTTCCCATAACTTTGGTATGACTGAGATAAAAGCATGATCGAATTACTTTCTAACTTTCAGGAATATTTAGTTTCTGTCTTACTCAGTGCATTGAGATGCACAGAAGATTGTTAAGATCTGGAGAAGATGTAACAAATGCGTATAGCAAGCTTATTTTTTCATTAAATTAAAGTTTGAATCAAGGACTATGAAATAATGAAATGTCGATTAAAAAATCAATAATACATTGCGAACAGCAACAAGAAAAAACAACGTGCATTAGAAAATAAAATCTGTTTGGAATGTACAAATAGAAATTGTTACAAAATAATCATTGTTGGTAATGTTTCTTTAGAAATTCAACATTTTGCGTCTTTTGTATTAATATTATAAAGATATTGATAAATGGGGCGAGGGCGGAGAAAATAGTTTGAAATACTTAGGTCATTCCAAAAGTAGTGGCGGAGGTATATCAATTCCTTATAGAAAGCTCGGCGAAACCTTTTTTCTATAGTCTAATAGAGAAAAGAAAGGTCTATTTTTCTATGCTATTTGATCATACTTTAACTAATGTTATGATAATAAATTTTTGATAAGATTTTTTTCGTTAACATATTTGCTCGTTGTACTAGCTCACAATGAATCAGACGGGTTAGTTTTGTAGTCCACTAATATATTGTATTAACAACCAAAATATGCCATAAGATGCAGCGTGAAAAGCTCTACAATTTCCATAAGACTACTTATTTTCTAGTTGCACGTTTTGTTCTTAAAATAGACTAAATTTTGAGTGATCGAACTTTGGCTGTTGTATAAACTGATCGCGTAGAATTTTCCTTTTTTTTGCAAAACAATTACAATAAACTTTATGATGTAGATTGTAGAGCTTTTCATACTGCATTTTCTGGTGTATTTTGTTTTTCTTTTAATAGAGTATATCAGGTGATATAATGATCAGATAACAAGAAATGAATTCGTCGTGTATCAAAAACATTATCTTTTTCCATGATCGAAATTTGATCGCTCAAAATTTAGTCTATTTTAAGAACAAAACGTGCAACTAGAAAATAAGTAGTCTTATGGAAATTGTAGAGCTTTTCACGCTGCATCTTATGGCATATTTTGGTTGTTAATACAATATATTAGTGGACTACAAAACTAATCCGTCTCATTCATTGTGAGCTAGTACAACGAGCAAATATGTTAACGAAAAAAATCTTATCAAAAATTTATTATCATAACATTAGTTAAAGTATGATCAAATAGCATAGAAAAATAGACCTTTCTTTTCTCTATTAGACTGTATAAAAAAAAAGTTTCACCGAGCTTTCTATAAGGGATTGATATACCTCCGCCACTACTTTTGGAATGACCTAAGTGCATAAGTTTCGTTGTCATAAAGTTTTACAGCGTATATTTTAACTCAAATGATAAAATTAATTTTAATCTATTTATTTATTTGACAGTTTTTGAAAATAAAACTTTTCAACTTTTTTTGACAATATACTGTAAATTTATAGCAATCTGAGTCTCGTAGATTCCACATTTTAGTCCCACAAGGGGTGCACTGATAAGTTTCTCAATTTAGAAGGGATTTCTTACGAAATGGAAGCGATTTAGAAGATCTGAGAATAAATTTTCACAATTTTCAAAGCCCCAATATAAACTAAACTCATCGATTTGAAATTTTCAACTCACCTCTCTCCCCCAAACTAGAGATATTTAGGTGTAAAACCAATAATTAAATTCCTGAACTTTCAAAAAAGTTATTAATTAAATAGGCGGGGGGGGGGGGGCGAGGAAGGTTAGAATAGTACTTGAGCTTTTCCATTGATGCTAAAATTTGACTAAAAAAATCTAAAATTTGTTCAATATTTAAATAAATAAATCGAATTTTTGCAGTGAAGGTCGTTACAATCAATGTTGTCTTGATTTCTCTTGATTTTTCTTCTCGTTTATTGTAGCGTACATTGCGAGAGCTGTAATGTAATATAGTGTAGTACATTTAAATGATGTGTTTTATTATTTTTTAAATAACATAACCTGCAATGCAAAAGTATTTGCCGAAATCTTAATCCATGGTTGTGCGCTAAGAAACATTTTAGAGAAAAGTCTGAGCTTCAAAAAACATGGAAAAAAATTTTTTTTTGTCGAGATAAACTTTGATATGAGAAAAAAGTTCGATATCAAAATAAGTTCTTGCAAACTCGGTCTACTTCAAATGTATCTGTTTTATCAAATCTAATTGTTTCTCTATGAAAGATTACATTTCAAATTATATAATTATAGAAACAAGAAATGTTTTTATCATTCTTTCAAATGAAGTATGATAAATTATGTTTTAATTCACTTTACAATCGAAGTGCTTTACATGTTTTTCATTGATTTCAGACAATAAGTCATCTAACTTAAGCAATAATTTTCAGAGATAGTGAATAAATTTTCCTCTTTTTTCTAAAAAATATTTTCTCAAACACCATGCAACTCTCTACAAATTGAAATCAATTTTATCCTTTACTAAACATGTCTAAGTCTTGAATAATGAATTTTTCTCAATGTTTCCTATCTGTTTTATGCAAAGTAGTGCTTTCTATTATAACTAAAACATATAAATCACTTTATTCACTATTAGAGAATTAATGAGAAACCTTTTCAAATATGAAAATTGATAAAGTTTTGAAAGGACTATTTTTTCATCCATTTAGTTCTCAAGAAAATGTTTTTCTTCATATTCTAGAAAAAAAATAAGAAACACTTGCAAGATCTCTTTCAATGATGGTTCATATTGAACGTTTTTCTCATTCAAAGTTATTCTCAGAATTTTTTTTTTCCTATGGTTTTGAAGTTCATATTGTGCCCTTTCAATAGGAAAAGGAATGAACTTTCTACGATGTTCCTAAGCAAAGAACCATCGGTCGAGATTTCGACAATTACTTTTACATCGTAGGTTATATTACAAAAACCGATACACATGAGTAAAATTAAAGCTTGCATTATTATTATTAAGGTTTAATAGATGATAATATTGGTCGGTATGCTCTTCGCCTAATCTCAGTAATTTGCATTCCGGCGATGTGACTATTGACAGTACCTGTTTTTGGTAATGTTCGTTTTGGCGATGAGATACACAATCCATGATATTTTAATAAGAACTTTTACTTAAGTAGAAAATTTATTTAGCTAAAATTTTTAGATTTTATTGTTTTTGTTTTTTGAATAAATAAAATATATACATATAGTACATTATATTACACGTATATACCAATAGGATAATTCAACAGTTAGAATTCGACATTATGTCCAAAGTTTCATATGCTATCAACAATAGAAGAGTAAATATACAAGATCTAAAACTAGACTAAAAACTCAGATCTGTTAGATTTAATAAATATCAATATTAGACCTAGTGCACTTAGAGTCTTAATTCGAACAAAGATATGGCCAAGAAAAAAGTGAGTAGCGTACAAATTTTTCTTTTATTAATTTCTGATCTTTTTTTTTGTCAATCAAAAAGAACAATTTTTATTGAAAAAAATTAAAATTTTCTTAAAATAGAGATGCATACCCTCCTGTACCATATCTCTGATTTCAAACAGTAACTTGTTTGTCTTTATTCATACTAACAGGGATTATTTTCGAGTCTTTCTTTAGTTTTCCTTTTATCAGTGTTTCTATATATATCCTTGCTTGGAAGATAAACAAACTTCCGACATCCATATGTTTGAGTAGATTTTTTTCCTCTTTACTTCTCTCTCTTCTTTATCAAAATGATATTTAAGCTGTATTCTATCATTTTTTTTAATCATCTTTCATTACTTGAAAATAAATATAATCATAAAGAATTTTGTCACTGTACTGTGTGAACCCGTGAAAAAATCAGGAGGGACACAAAAAAAGATATCTGTAGATTAAAATTGTTTTACTGGGTAGCTCGTTCTACAAGAGACACGACAAAAATGCACGCAATAACCTTTTTTGTTTTATAATTTTTTCTATTTCAGCAGTCGTCTAATAGGAATCGAAAGAGATCATACATCTTACAAAAATAAAACAAAACAAACTAATATACGAACATATTATTATGATTTTGTTATAGCTATCAATTAAAAAATACAACGCATGATTTTTTTTTTCGTGTCATTCTATACTTCGCATGTTCACATCAAATTGTTTTCATGTTATAGTTCTTGTAACTTTTCTCTTTAACGTTCTTTGCGTTACTTGTTTTGTATATTTTATCTGTTCGTTCTTCGCCGCTATGCAGAGAAGGTCACCGTTGTTAATAAAAAGAGAAGAGAGAAAGAGAATGATCGCGTTTTTTTTTTCGTCCCTTTTCGTACTCACTGTCACCAACGTGCATAAACTCTGTAACTTATTTGTTAATAAGTTTTTTTATAAAAAAAAAAAAATAACTCAACATGGAACAAGCGGTGAGTTTTTCATTGATGAAATATTATATTAATAATAAGTTATTAAAAGATCTATTGAAATTGTTTGTTTAAATTTATTTCTTCTAATAGAAATCAGCATTGAAAACAGTTCAAACAACTGTTACTAATAGTATTAAAGACTTCATTGGAGCTGATAAAGGAAATAAAAACAATGAACAAAATTCATCTGCAACAAAAGACGAATCAGCATCGTCTGAAACTTATGAAACTACCGATACATCAAAATCAAGCGGTTCATGTCCTAGACAACTTAGTATTCGTGATATTCCAATGGTAAATTCGAAAATTCTAGTTGATCTTAGCCAATTTATTGTTATAGCTAGAAAATGTTCAAGAAGTTAAAAAGATATTTAATCGTCATTTACATTTTACTGTTGCTAAAGATCGTGATATAGCTACTAGTTATGATTATTATACAGCTGTAGCTTATACAGGTTAATTTAAAAATAATTTTTATTCATTTTCTTTATTTATTTCTTATTTTTAGTTCGTGATCATCTTATTGGTCGATGGATTCGTACAAATCAACATCATTTCGAAAATGATGAAAAGGTTTTGATTTTTGTTCAATTCAAAATCAAGTCTTCATTTTGATGGTTGTTTTTTTTTCTTAGCGTGTCTATTATTTTTCTCTGGAATTTCATATGGGACGAGCATTATCAAATTGTTTGATTAATCTAGGGATTGAAGATACTGTTAATGAAGCTCTTTCTCAAATGGGTTTGAACCTTGAAGAATTGGAAGAACTTGAACCAGATGCAGCACTCGGAAATGGTGGTCTTGGTGAGTTAGAATTTATATTAGTCTATCTGATTCAAACCGAATGAAAACTGTCGGTAGACTGACAATCGCTATTCTACCGGGGTATATAAAAAAAACATTTTGGATATAATAGAATACATAGGAAGTTCAGAATAATATTCTAGAGTTTATTAGAAAATCTTTTGGCACTTTCTATCAAATCCTCTATTTGTTTGTGTTAACTACTTTTTAAGCTTAGCAGGTTACCAAATCTTTCGTTTTTTGATGTGTTATTGAATTCATTGTAAAAAATCCTACAGATTAAACTCACTAGGAAATTAAATATTGAAATTTTCTATGTCGATCAATAATTTTAATGAAATTATAGATTGATGATTTATTTTCAGGACGATTGGCTGCTTGTTTTCTCGATAGTATGGCTACATTAGGATTTGCTGGATATGGTTATGGTCTTCGATATGATTATGGTAAAGATTAATAGAAGATTTTTCTATGAAAATATTATCTTGTTTAAGGTATATTTGCACAAAAAATTCAAGATGGTTATCAAATTGAATATCCAGATAGTTGGTTAAAGTACCAGACAATAAATTTAATTCTTTTATATATTATAAGTTCTATAGATTTGGAACTCCATGGGAAATAGGTCGACCCGAACATCTTATACCTATTAATTTCTATGGTAAAGTTATTGATGATGAAAATGGAAAAAAGAAATGGATCGATACAGAAATTATTCATGCTATGCCATATGATGCACCAGTAAGAATGAAACTAATACTAAAAACTTTTCAAATATGTGTATTATCAATACTTGCTGACAAGTAATCATTTGACAGAGATTCATTTCAAACAAAAAATTCCTTGATTGAATCACTAATTACTGTTTACGAGGAAACTACATTACGTAGGATCTGTTGAGACTAGAAGAAGCCTAGAAGGATTCTTTCCCATATGCTACCATTTTAGAGTTATTTTAGCCTAAAATTTTGTTCATAGACAGTTCTTGAAAGTATTAGAATCTCCTAAAAATTTCAGCCAAAAAGAATAGTCTCTTCTCAAGATATTAAATCCGTCAGAAAACTAGATTTTCTATCTTTTTGGTGGAATAACATGGTTTTTTGTGGATCTGATATCAAGAGCTATCTATGAGGAAAGTTTTAGGCCAAAATGACTTCAAAATGGTAGCGTATGAAAAAGAATCCTTTTAAGTTTCTTCTAGTCTCAACAGACTCTATGTAATGATTGAAGGTCTCAACTCAAAAGTGAGGTATCACTTCAGATGGTACTCTCGTTAGTATAACAAGATCGCACTATAAAATCCGCGAAATCACATACAAAATGAGATATTTGTACTTCTTCATATCAGGGATTTCAATTGAGTCTGCAAATAATGCATAGTAAGTTTTGATAGGTATGATCAAATATTCACTCGGATAAATTTTAAAATATCAAATTTTTCATTATGTCTAATATATATATACACTTTTTTGCTTTAATTGAATTCGACCATAGCATCGAATATTATACTGAAAAATTTTTATATTTGCTTTTGTAGAATAGATTGAAATTAAACAATTTTTAGTTGTACGATATGTATATCACGAATGTAGCCATCTATAAAAAAAAATTCCCAAAGGATCCAAGAGAAAAATGCAGAAAATGATATTCTCAGCACCTTATTTTTATACTTATCCCCTTGATTTTGTCTTGTGTAGACATGAGCACAATGAAGTAAATAAATCTATGTTTGCGACAAAGGACAGATTAATAATCGGTTGTATAAATGATTAGAAAAACATAACAATGACCTCTGAATGCAATATAATACTATTAGTATTGCCGAAAAACATGCCACTTTTAAAGCACTAATATAATCTATTATAGATTAAGATAATCTATTTCGATGTTTAGACACCTGGTTATAATAATAATATAGTTAATACATTACGTTTATGGTCAGCGAAAGCTCGAGGAGAATTTAATTTTCAATTCTTTAATGCTGGTGATTACATTCGTGCTGTTGCTGAAGAAGTAAGAAAAACAAAACAAAGAAAGATTTGAAACGTTTTTTTTTTCATTGTTTATTTTGTCTTATAGAGTTTAGCAGAAAATATTACTCGAGTATTATATCCAAATGATAATGTAAATAGATCTTTGTTTTAAATATGTATTTAATCTATTTGTTTCTGTGTTTTATTTTTGTCTTAGTTTGATGAAGGAAAAATTCTTCGTTTAAAACAAGAATATTTTTTAGTATCAGCATCATTACAAGATATTATTCGACGTTTTAAAAATTCAAAAATATTTTCAAATAAAAATAAAAAAATTGATTTTACATATTTTCCTGAAAAAACAGCTATCCAATTAAATGATACACATCCAGCTTTAACTGTTGCCGAATTAATGCGTTTATTAATTGATGAAGAAAATCTTGAATGGAATCAAGCATTTGATATAACAAAAAAAGTTATTGCTTTTACTAATCATACTCTATTACCTGAAGCACTTGAACGATGGCCAATTGATATGTTTAAAAAACTTTTACCACGACATTTCCAAATTATTACAGATATTAATTCACATCATTTGGATGTAAGAATTACATTGAAAAATGATATAAAAAAATATATATATGTATTGATATATCTGATTTACTTATATTTTAGCTTGTGAGAAAAAAATGGCCAGATGATGAAGAACGTGTTAAACGTATGTCAATTATTGGAGGCGAAAAACAAGTAAGAATATGAAATGTCAAATATGGAATGAATGAGTATTTGAAAAAAAGTTGAACTCACGAAAATTAAGAAAAAGCTTTTTCTTAGAGTACTAGAAAAAGACACATTATGATCACTAAATGCATTAGTGAAAACAAAAAACTAAATAATAATAATAATAATAATTTTATCTGCGATCAGAGCGAACTCATTCACTGTGAACATTTATAAAGAATGGATGTTACTGTCCGTAAACAGAAGATTCACACCCCAATAGAATTTAAAGAATACAGATGTAAATGTTCTCGCGGACTAGTTATTCTGTACAATATCCTTGTGATTCATATCGGACAAAAACCGTCGGTAGTACAAACAAATGTACGACATAGGTATCTATCAAATGATAGATAAAAACTCGTCATACACCATTGAAAAAACGGAAAAGCCTAGATCATCCAAAAAAAGTTCCGGCAGCATTGTTACTATGATCGTTGCTTAAAATAATCTCTCAGTTTCTACTATTTGTTCTGATTTGTGTAATATTTTTGTATAAATATGAATGTTATTTCTTATACTATTTGTTATTGTATTAATTAGAAATTTGGTGATCAAAAATATTCATATTCAAAATAAATATTTTCTAATATGAATATGCAAAGAAATCGATATTCTGAATTAAGAAGTGTCTGCAGAATTTGTGACTGATTATAATGTAAAACACGATTGAGACATATTAATTGTAATGTGTACAAGAAAAAAATGAATGTCAAATCTTCACTTCTTCTTCTCTATTAAAAATTGTAATGATTCAATGTTTCGACTAGAAACTATCATGAGAAGGAAAATTAAAGTAGTAACAGAAAATTCTACAGTTAATACTTTATAAAGCCTTGATCATTTGCGATAATATGTTAGATTGTCCTTTCAGAAGACGACAATATTCGCATTTCCATTTTCTTAGAGCTGGACAGGTATCAAGATGGTCTATGCTATCGTCTACGGCAAAGAAGTATATCTCTATTTTAGTGTCATAGTTAGTAGCAGTGTTCGAAAATACTGTGACTATAGATACAAGGTATTTATTTCCATTTAAGAACTTCTTGCTAAAATATTGGAGAAAAGGATTGATGCAAAACCAAGTAATAATAATCTCGATTAGAATCTAATAAAGACTGTCGATCTTCATCGTATTAGCTATAAATAGTTCAATATAGACTAGAAGTATTTTCAGATCAAACAAGATCAGACGAAATCATCATCTCTTTCCTTAAGTCGTGACGTACGATCCTATATGGTCTTTTCAAAAGATTATATAAGATCCTGTAAAAAATTGTAAGCCAAGACTTGATCCAAATTTTGAAGATATTATGAATTCTTGTACGTTTTTATCTGATTTTTAAAAGATCAGATATGAATTCTGAGATATCTGATCGTTTGACTTGAATGCAATAGAGAACGTTCGAGCTAGAAGCTATCTAAGTCTTATACTAGAACTAATCCATATTGATAAATGTCAAGTCTCACACAACAAATTATGGAATGGTTTATTTTTATCAATCTCTATTTCCATATAATGTCTTCCATGGATATCCTCGAAAACTCAATAAAGTACTAGCACAGAAGATATTGCACGAATACATCCATCATAAAAGCAAAACATATAATCTCTATTTTCTTTTTTTATTCATTCCAGGTAGTCAACATGGGTTATTTATCTGTAGTCGGTTCACATGTAGTTAATGGTGTAGCTCAATTACATAGTAATTTACTTAAATCTACAATGTAAATATATTTTTCTTTATTTAATATCAGATCATTTTGTTTTTGAATATTTTTATAATTAGATTTAAAGATTTTTATGAGCTTAATCCAGAAAAATTTCAAAATAAAACAAATGGTATAACACCACGTCGTTGGTTGCTTACATGTAATCCAGATTTGTCTGAACTTATTTCAAGTAAAATTGGTGATGATTGGATTACAGATTTACGAGAATTATCAAAATTACGCAATTATATTGATAATGAACAATTTATTCATGATCTTCAACAGGTCAAACTTGTATGTTTAGTATTGATTTTTTTTTTCTATTGAAATATTTTGGAAAAAAAAATATTTGAATTTTTTTCTAGGAAAATAAAAAACGTTTAGTTAACGTACTTGAAAATGATTTTAAGGTAAAAGTTAATCCAAATACAATGTTTGATATACAAGTAAAACGTATTCATGAATATAAACGACAATTATTAAATTGTCTTCATGTTATTACATTATACAATCGTATTAAAGATAATCCAAATATTGATAATGTACCACGTACAGTTATTTTTAGTGGAAAAGTTAGAAAAAAAGAATATTTTTTATTTTTATAAATAAAAAATTAATTCTTTGTTTTTCTTATAGTCAGCACCTGGTTATCCAACTGCAAAATTAAGTAAATTAAAATGAAAAAGATATTGAAAGATAATTTTTTGTTTGTTTGTTTTGGTTTTAGTTATCAAACTAATTTGTAATGTTGCGCGTACTGTTAGTGATGATCCAGCAGTTGGTGAACGACTTAAAGTTATTTTTCTAGAAAATTATCGTGTTAGTCTTGGTATGTATATAACTATAAAAAGCTTTTAGTACAATCCTCATTCGATAGAAATATGAAACACAAAATAATTGCTGTTATTATTAGAAAGAATGAACGAAAGAATATCCTCCAATTATGATCAAGTTTTACACGCTTGCAGTTAAAGTTGAAATCATTTAATGGGATTTAATAAAAACTATTTGTTGATTTTTCTGAATATTCTTCCATTTATTAATCCTCAAAAAGTTTAATTCGAGCTCTACAACAAAAGAAGTTCTATCATTGCGTTATACTGAATTTTTTTGAAAATCCAATGAAAAATATGTTTGTTTCGGATGAATGTTTCTAATTTCTGAAAAAAGAAACCTATATTTTTTATTTTTAAGCTGAAAAAATTATTCCGGCTGTTGATTTATCTGAACAAATATCATTAGCTGGTTTGGAAGCATCAGGTACAGGTAATATGAAAATGATGCTTAATGGAGCATTAACAATTGGTACCTATGATGGTGCAAATATTGAAATAGATGAAGAAGTTGGACGTGATAATATATTTATATTTGGTATGAAAATTGAAGAAGTTAATGCATTACGTGAAAAAGGGTAAAAGAAATATTTATTAATATCAATATTGATTCTCAAAATTATTCAACACTGTTTATTTTCAAATTTTTTCTACGATCTTAAAATTTATTAATAACAAAAATATCCTAAAAAAATGATAAACGAATCCCTAAAGATGAAATCCTGCAGATGATCGAAACTCTAGTTTGTCAGTATTTAGAATGCAGAATTTCCATTTTGTTCAGACTATGTAAAACGATAGAGCAAACAATTCTCTACAAAATGAGACATCTTCAAGTTCTATGCGATGTTTCTTAGCGTAGATATAACACTGATATGTATAACCTTAAACGTAGTTTATTTTGGTATTTTTCCGATGGAAAAGCCATTTGTAGACATTGTATTAGAACGTCGTAGAAAACACTCAGTTGTCTCATTTTGTAGAAAATGATTTTCTCTATCGTTTTACTTACTCTCGGCAGAATGATAGTCTTATGTTTTACGTAGATGCTAACATACTAAAGTTTCGGTGTTTTGAAGACATCATCTTTAGGAATTTGTTAATAATGTTTCTTTTCGTATAAAGTTTCTCTATTCGAAGCACTAATCGGACTCTTTTTTGGCATCTAAGACAGTAGAAAACAATTGAAAATAAGCATTGTTGAATATTTTTGATAACTACTGTATATATCATATTTCATATCAAATTGAATTGATAAAAAATAATATAGATATAATTCGAAAGAATATTATGAACGTGAACCGGAATTAAAACGAGCATTAGATCAAATACGTGATGGATTTTTTTCATCTGAAGATCCAAATCTATTCGCTGATATCATTAAACATTTACTTGAATTAAATGATGAGTAAGATGAAAGACTTCTTTCAAGTAAAAAATATTTCTTATTCTATTTTATAGATATATGTTGCTTGCAGATTATGCAGAATATTTGAAAGCACAAGAACGTGTTGAACAACTTTATAAAGTAACTTATAAACAAAAAAAAAAAAAACTTTAATTTTTTTCCTTTATTACTTAATTTTGATTTAGAATCACATTGAATGGACCAAAAAGTCTCTTTTAAATATAGCAGCAGCAGGAAAATTTTCATCGGATCGAGCAATTAAAGAGTATGCAAAAGACATTTGGAATGTTAAACCATCAATGAAAAAATTACCAGAACCTCACCATGGTCGACCAGGCATTAAAAATGAAATCGAAAAAATTGAAATGACTCAATCATATTCTCAACGTGAAGATTATTAATATAAAAACCTACAATTTTTCATACGACGAACGTATTAATAACAAAAACAGAAATAGAAAAAAAAACTGTTTTATTCTTATTTATATACATGCAAACTCTGACATTTTATATAAAACAGTCTTTTCATTGTTTTATGTTTCTTTATCAATTGTACTCTAGAACAGAGACCGAAACGACTCAAGAAAAATGGGCTCGACTCGACTGGACTTACATCTTAAGAGATCTTAACTCGGCTCGAGTCGAGTCGAGGCGCCGAGCATCGACTCAAAAAAGCCATTGTTCATATTGTTTGATCGGCTTAAAATAACAAGAGTAACGCAGGACGAATCAAAATACACCAGAAGACCAAATGTTTTAAGTCATGCTTATTGATTACTGGGATCAGAACCATTTTTGTCGCACTTGTCATGGTGAAACAAAGGTGTTTGATACTGTCAGGATGTATGAATAGGTACCTCTGGAGGAAATGGTGAGTGTACTCATGCCAACAAAATTGAAAAAAATACTAGTGCAGATAGTAAGTGAAAGCAACAAGGACATCGCAGAAATCCAATGATTTCGTTCAAAGTCATTAATTTTTAAATATTTTATTTCAATCCATTTCAGTAGACATTTGCAGAATATAATTAATTTTTCGATTTGCATGAGTCCATTCCATCGAGTACATACAATTTAGACACATCTACGCAAGATCTACTCTTTTTTAATTGAAACTTGTTGCAATAGATCGACATTTAGTGAAAGCTGTATCGAAATAAAACTTTTCGCTGGAAAAAAGACCTTCTACTCTTTCTTCGTTCCATTCGCGTAGCAGTAGGATCTTGATTTGATGCTTAGCTTTTATGACTACTTCTATCAGCAATGAGGTAAGCGGAGGTACCTTGACGAAAGCTGATTCTAAGGTAATATTAGCTAAATCCATAAACATATTAAAAATAGGCATAATTGGCAATGAAAAACAAGAACAGACTGATAAATGTAAGTGTGAATATCGCGATATTAAAGGAAAACAAACAAATCCTCATCAAATTTGCACATTTCTTAGTTAGATCAACTAACTAAATGATTACAAAAGTCGAGTTCTTCGACTCGGCTCGTCTATAGGTCCTACCCGACTCGATTTCGGTCTCTGATAGACAACTCAAATGAACATACGAAAGTTATATATTTTTGTATTAATTTTTTTTCTAGATTATTTCTCGATTATTCATTAGTCAAGAACATGCCAACCTTGATCGATGATCGAGCGAGGACTACCATGAAGTGGTCAGATGGAGATCGGATCAACTCGAGACTGGACAGATCCCAAGATCTGACCTGCTTAAGTTTTCAGATTATGAATAATTAAATGGAAAAGATTGCAAAAAATATCATAATTTTCTTTTATACAAAAAGAAAACGAAAAACGCGCTGCATACTAGATTCGAACAACGTTTTCAGAATGTGTCGCATGTGTCGTAACGAGCACTTCGTGCCGTACTTAGATCTGTCATGCATTGTGCCAACAAAGTACGACATATGCGACACACTTTATTTTAGCGTGCACAGCTAAATAATTATCTTGTGTATGATAGAAAAACAAAATTTGATTCACATAAAATAAGTTTAGGTGGATTAGAACAATGGTATGATATTATAACCTTTCACCGTGCAGGTAGAGTCACAATGTTCTATGCATGCAGAAAATACGAGAATGACAAATTGAAATAATGATACAAATAGAATTTTTTTGAATCTATATTTAACTAGTCTTATTGCTGAAGTTTTGAATAATTATTAAACTTTTTCATGCGATTAAGTCAAGTAAGTAATATCACAAAAGCGAAGATAGGTACTTGGTTGTGACTAGCTGGTTCTGTTGTTTTTGAGCACATAACTCTACATTTGGTCTTTTTTACATATAAATTTATGTAAACAAAATAAGGATGTCGCTAAAAATGATAACGACGAAGTAAGTAAGCTTTACTGTCGTCTCAATTTTTTAGTTTTCTCTATTACAATATATAGCAAAACATATGAAAAATTCAAATCCCTGGATCAAAATAAGGTTCATCTAGTGAAAAAAAGTTTAATTTGAGTATAACAAAGCCTGAGCATCTTAATTCAGGTGAGACAGAACCTAATAGTGCCCAATTCGGGAAGACTCAAGCCTTACCCAACTTACACGTTCTGCCGCCTATCGTCTTTTGAGTGGCGATTCTGAAGATCTATCGAATGGTAATATCTTCGAGTTAAACAGCTGCCGAAGTCTATTGGAGCGTATTTTACTCATATCCGTTAATCACTATCAAAAACCAATCGTTATGAATAGAAATAAATCATGTTTTTCTACAAGATATTGACGTATTCTATTCCAGTATAATATTTTTCTCAATGTGTTACGAAATATTGCACGTTGCTTGCTTAATCAAACACTGAGATTAACTTTGTAACTATCCATTCTTTTTAATCTTAATATCATTTGACTAGGCAATCGATATTTCAAATGTTATCTTGTGCTACGCTCAAGAATGACATTACAAGAAAGCAAAACTGATGCAAACAGATTATACGTACATTAAATGACAATTGGAATTAAATATAGTATCATGTCTTTGTTACAATTGATGCCTTTATAATTTAACCGGCATGAAATTATTCAACTAAAACGGATATATTGACAAATATAGCACAGAAAACTGCGATGCTTCCATCTCTAAACGTTTCTAGAGTCGAATAAGCGGTTTTAGAATAAGCAGATATTTTTTTCATCGATTTTGTTTGTGCTGTATACAGAACCTGCTGAGAAATTCAAAAAAAAAGTATAGATGATTATCAGAGTATTTATTTTTATAGATTTACAAGCATAAAAAAGAGCACGATAACAAAGAGAATAATTTTAATACTAGAAAGATACAAAAAAACAGCATGATTCTGAAAAAAAGTCGTAGAAAGAAATTCTAATTGATGCTTGACCAAGACTAGAAAAGTTCCTTTCTCCAAAAAACCAAAATAAAGTGAGAGCATGTTTGAGCAAATCATGGGCAGTTCTAGTACTTTCAGATGTTTTGAGAGATATCGCTGTTTTTATTGAGAACTATTTTTCTGTGTGGAAGGAGACCGATCTATATCATATTTTTAGATCAGAGAGAGAGAAAGAGTTTCAAAACGGCATAAAAACCGATTGTATGATTTCCAAATCGATCTATATGTTTACCAGAAATAAACGGATGGGTTAGATGTATAGAATCTTGTGATTACCCCTAAAACAAGCAAAAAAAATATAGGCTTGAGCGCGTATGAAATATTTCTGATTGTGGATGGTTATATATTTATTTACTTTTCCAATACGTTAGTAAGTTTTCTCAATGGTCACAGACGATGTTACTGAAGTTAGTGTCAAAGCCAACGAAGCTTTATAGATATTTTCATTTCTTTTTCGTTCCCTTTAAAACAAAGAGCATGCATTCACCAATACCTAGATATTATCATGTTTCCTTTCAAAACATATATATCAATCGAAAGAAAGAGAATGTATATATACCGCTGGAAAGCAAAAGTTAGCCACGTTATTTTGGGTATATCGTAACTATAACAGCGTATTCTCAAAAGAATAATACTATATTCGAAAAGCGCGTGAAATTCTCTACCACCCTGTATATTTTTATTACAGTTTGCCATCATAGAATACCTAACAAAATTCAGTACAACCAAGACAACCTCATGTCCAAATTCCCAAACACTTGATTTTGCCAATCCCATCAAAAATAGTTTTTGAAATTTTCCATCACTATAAAATGATCCTATAAGAAAGGAAAATATATATTCTGATAGAGCGTGAAATTCTCTATCACTCTGTATATTTATCTGTTTTTTCGCATTTGTTCATTGGGGAAATAATTTGACAACAATGACATATTCTCAACTGACAATTTCAAAAAAATAAGCTTTTTCTTCTTTTTCTTCAATGATGGTAATCACGAAAATGAACTTTCACAATTGTAGCGATGTAGTCTGATAGAGCGTGAGATTCTCTATCACCCTCTGTCTTTTTTTATTTGAACTTGTGTGCTAAAAGAATAATCGAAGTGAAGATAAAGACTGTGCTTCAGACAAACTCTGGAAAATTTGACCTGGTTCAACCTTCCTTTGTTTTTATTTCGTGTTGATTAGCCACACAGGAATGACTTTTTGGAAACTTTATCGTATATTTTGATAGTCCTTCATTTTCTAGATAAGCCTAATATGGTGGAATAAAAAACGGAAGGGATAGTAAAATGGGCGAACTGGTAGAGTTTGTCAGTAGATGGTTTCTGGATATTACTTGAATTGATGTGCATCTCATAAATATGAGACAGGACATAACCATTACATAGGATGATAGAGAATTTCACGCTCTATCAGAAGATGTAATTGCATCACTAAAAGTTCATAGTTTAACTAACTAAAACGAAGCACCAAAAAGTGTCGATTTTTTGAAATTGTCAGTTGAGAATATGTCATTGTTGTCAAATTATTTCCCCAATGAACAAATGCGAAAAAACAGATAAATATACAGAGTGATAGAGAATTTCACGCTCTATCAGAATATATATTTTCCTTTCTTATAGGATCATTTTATAGTGATGGAAAATTTCAAAAACTATTTTTGATGGGATTGGCAAAATCAAGTGTTTGGGAATCTGGACATGAGGTTGTCTTGGTTGTACTGAATTTTGTTAGATATTCTATGATGGCAAACTGTAATAAAAATATACAGGGTGGTAGAGAATTTCACGCGCTTTTCGAATATAGTATTATTCTTTTGAGAATACGTTGTTATAGTAACGATATACCCAAAATAACGTGGCTAACTTTTGCTTTCCAGGGATATATATATATACCACATTATCGTATTGTCTATATGAACAAAGCTAATCTTCTTGCTTAGATATACAGCCAATGTTGTGCTTCCTGATGAAAAGATTTCTATAACAAAGAGAAAAAAGAAGAACGGAGTTATTCGTTTAAATATGATAAC